TCCCCAGGGAAGAGAAGGCAAGGCAAGGCAAGGCAAGGCAAGGCAAAGAGAAGGAAAGCAGCGAGAGGAGGAACTGCACACCCGCAGCAAGGCTTTGCGAAAGGAAGAGGAGGAAGAAGGGCTGCAGCTGCACACAAGGAAGGCAAGGCAAGGCTCCACAGCTGCAAGGTTGCCTTGGCCTCCTGGGATTTGCAGTTTAGGAATGGGGGGGATGGGGGAGGGGAGAGGTTGGGATTTTTAGACATCTCCTGGCATCCCCCCAAACTACACATCCCAGAAGTCCTAAAGCCATTGGAAATAAGTATTTTCCGATGGCTTTAGGCGACCCCTGTGTTTTGGTCGTTCGACCCCCTCCGGGGTCGCGACCCACAGGTTGAGAACCACTGATGTAGAAAGAAAGGGGGAAATGCAGTGGGTTTTGATGGTTTTGGGAAGCAGAAATAAATCAATCAAACCCTGAACAGATCTTGTTTTGTGTCATCCCCAAATGAACCTACAAGGGTCTTTCTTGATGATTTTAAAGCCTAGTCAGGTTCATATAGAATAAAACAGTTCTTCCAATTACTGTATATACTCATGTATATGTCTAGAAATTGTAGTCAAAAAATTGACCCTAAAAACCTGGGCCAACCTGTCTGTGGATCAATGTAAGTACTGTACTCTAACTCTTATTTTTAAAAAGGAACATCCCCTGGCGAAAGCCAAGAGCATAATCTGAAGCATTACCCCCCCCCCCCATTCTCTCAAACATCCAGCTTTTGGTAGGAGCACAAACAGTTATACCAGCTGGAATTTTTTAAAGTTCTTTGGCATTGTTTTCCTTAGCTTCATCCTTTACATCCTTTGCTACATGCCCTTAAGTTTTACTCTTGACTTATCCTTGGGTCATATCAAAATCCATAACTTTGGCCCCCAAACTTGCCCTTGACTTATATATGAGTTCGACCTATAGTGAAGTGTATACAGTACCTAGATCCAGGTTTACTAGGTTTATAGGTCATGATTAGCATTTTGGCAACTAGCAACCAGCTGTAGTATCAAGGAATTTCTATTCTGCCTTTAACCAGCTCTGACCTGGGCACTGCTGATTTAAATGTTTAAAAACATTTTTACTAACCTGCATATTCTAAACTCCTTGTTGATTGTGCTTTTATCTGTTGTTTATTTTGAATATTGCTTTTTTCATTTGTTTGTTTCCCTCGTTTAAAACTGCCTTGAAATCTTAGGTAAAACAGCAATATATACAGTTTTTTAAAAAATGAATGTTTACTAAGAAGCAATGTATAGAGTTTTAAAATAATATAAATTATTCTTTACTGAGAATTAAGACCCACAGAGGTTCATGAGGACTGCATCTGAATTTGTGTGAGGATTTCAGCCTCTATTAATCATATGAATTATTGATTTTGACAAACTCAACACAAAAAGCAATTAATAATTTTGAATGCCCAGATGTCAGAGGGGCATTGAGGGAGCAGATAGTTTTCTTTTAAAAGTGTTATTAAGAAAGATCTGATTTTTAAAAGAAATTTCCCCTAGTTCTGAAAGATTCTGAAGTTTTACACGGCAAACAAGCCACGGAGAAAGAGGTGATGCCATGGCAGCTGTTCCAACACCACCAGCACTCATAGGTGAGAAGGGGATGGTTTTTAAAAGAAACAACTTTTATTTAATTGATTGTTGTAGAAGATGGAAGTTTGGCTCATGGCCATAATAGTGAATGGAGAGAACTCGAAGGAGAAGATGTGAAAGGCATGTTTTTTGTGAAGACAGTTCCCACCCTGCCTTCCTACCAGGCAGATCATAGCTGGGAAATGTGCCAGTTTTCACTCGAGATCTACATGGCAGCCGTGGCGTCACTAGGGTGTGAGGGGGGTTCAAATCACACCAGGTTTGAACATACATCAGAAGGGGTGACACTGAGCAGCAACAAAGCATCCCAAAGCTCTTCACCCAGAAATAAAGAGGGGACTCTTCTTGGTATACTGCTCTCCTTTGTGGGGGTGAGGATGGGAGTGATGCCATGGACCTTTCTCTCTGCTTTCCACTGCACTCTCCCATTCTGTTTGTCTCCTTTCCACTTTTGTCCTCTGAAGGGGCAGTTTTCTGCGATTTCCTCTTTGCTTGAGGGTGGAAATCTTTTCCTTGAGGGTGGAAATTTTTAAAAAAAATCTTGCTCAGGGGGGCATCACTTCTTTTCTGTCTTGGCTAGGGTGGGAATGGTGGTGGCAGGATGCTGGATTCCCGAGGGTAAGATCCTTCTCCCTATTCCCACCCCAATCCCAAGAGGTCCATCAGGGTGACACCATGAATTATCGTACTGGGTGACGCTAACCATAGTGACACCACAGCAGGGCGGTACGTCAGCCTGACAGCTGCATCACACAGCATCCCTGAAATGTCAAATAGAAGGTCTGTTTTTGGCACTGCCACATTGGAACTAACATGGAAGTTGAGAAAAAAGGTCTGTGAGCCTTTGCTGAATTTGAGCTGAGAGTACAGTTGGCCCTCCTAATCCACAGATTCAACCATCTACAGCTTAAAAATATTCCCTACCAAAATAATTCTGAAGAAGCACTTTTGTATTTTGCCATTTTATATAAGGGACAGCATTTTACAACACCGTTGTATATAATGGGACTTAAGCATCCATAGATTTTGGTATTCACAGGGAGATCCTGGAACCAAACCCCAGTGGATATCAAAGGCCCAATGTACACAGTTATATCCAGGCTGCTTCTCTGGAAGCTCTTTTCTTCTGTCACTGCTTTCCCGCAATATAGATGAGGAGCCAACATTTGGCCTACTACACATGCAGTAGAAGGAGGTGATCGAAGCCTCAGCTAGTACAGTGCACCTTGCTCCACAGATATGATATATTTTTGCAGAAGAGAGAGAGAGAGTCCTCCTTTGTTGCAGGTTTCCTCTAAATAAAAGCAATACATAGGTCAATGAGAAAGTCCAGGCTTCCCCATTGCTATCAAGCCTGGTACCAGCGTACTTGGGGAGTTGTATCGCTCCCACAACTGGGTCTTCAAGCCACCATTTAAAGTTTCTCATATGTTCCTGGTGTAGTGCAATTCCTGGACATTATGGGAAATGTATTGCCATCTGATAACCCCACAACCATGTAGCCATGGATCTCCTCAAACATGGAACTTTGTCAGCCAACTATGCATGTT